GATGGTCCTTCAACCACTCGAATTTTTATGTCACTTACTTGTTCTCCCACTTTGACTTTCATGTTGTCTTCTCCATAGCACTTGATTTCATTTCCCGTATAACTTTTAAGTACCACTGTAGAAGGTTTCAAAACATTTGTGTCACCACCCATTCTTTCAAAATCACCAGAATTTAATAATGTTACTGAACTTCCAGTGTCAATTTCCATGGAGACTTCTTGACCATTAATATTCACTCCCAATTTGTATTGTGGCGATATTTCTGATTTCTGTCCCACAGAATTTATATTCTGCATAAAAATAGTTACTGGTGTACCGTTGACAGAATTCATATCACTGTCACTGTCACTAGATTCATCAGTATGTGTTGCTACAATGTTATGTGCCTTGGCATTGCTATCTGCCTTCTTTTTCTTGAAACATACTTTTGCCAAGTGTCCCGCCTTTTTACAATAGTTACATGTTGTATAGGTATGGCTGCACTTGTCTGCCAAATGTTGTGTAGATCCACATCTGAAACAAGTTTTCCCTTGCTCAAAAGGTTTTGCCTTGTTTGCATCCCCGCCTTTGAAATGATATTTCTTCTTGTTTGATATACTGTGGGCTTGTGTGGTTTCCGTTCTTTCCGCACTGAGAAGCAATTCTTTCGATTCTTTTTCTGCTAGTTCATCTGCTTGGGCAACCTTTACTGCTTGATCAAATGTCCTGTCTTCAGAAAGAAGTTTCTTTCTAGTACTTCTACTTCGAACGCCCCCAACAAATTGATCTCGTAATGCCCTTGTGAGATAGGTGCCAAAATTACAATGAACAGCTAAACGCTTCAATTTGTTTGCATATTGAGCTACACTTTCGCTTTCCGTTTGAACTGCTTGATGAAATCGGTATGTCTCTGCGACTTCGAGTACTTTCGGTTTGTAAAATCCTTTGAGTATTGTAATAATTTCTTCGTACGACTTTTCAGCTGGTAAATCAGGGAGGCAGAGATCTTTCAAAGTACTGTATGTGCTTTTCCCCATCACCGAAATAGTTACGGCGACTTTCCTTTTGTCTGCAGCTTGTTTTGCAGCTTCATTTGCATCTGCTGCGACTTGGCCAATGTTATTTGCAATAAAATATGCATTCAGTCTCTCACTGTAATCTATAAAATCCCCGCCATCGAAAGGTTCCAGAACGCCGAAGCACGTATAATTTTGCTGTGCCATGTAATTTTAATCCTCGTCGCCAATTTGTAATGTATTTCTCGTGTAGCCGAGTAAGGATTGAATGCCTAAATAACCTTTAATCTCCAAATAAGTGTAATAACGACTATTTCTAAAAAGAACTCCTCGCCCTCTCAACTCTCTCTCGAGACTCTCTCGCGCATGCGTCTATACACAGTACTTCATATAATCAATATATAACAATTACCTAGTCAATTCCTATTAAGAAATTGCTTTATATATTTTTGCTAAGACTGATGTACCCAGGCCTGCTTATATTATTGTGCCATATAAGACACCAATTTCGTTCTATACATAGTTATATTCGTTTACCTTATCAGCCAATGTTTTGTCGTCATTTCTTGTTATGATTTCTGAAAAAACTAATTCCATATTCCTGTTTTCCCTAATAATGCTCTCTCCAAGCTTTTGTACATGTGTCAACAATTCATCTGGCGTCATTCTTTGTAGATCAATGGTAATTCCGAAGTGTAAAATAAGCTTATTTGGTTCGTGAGTAACGTTGATTTTACACACTGATTCATTTCCTTTATTCCCGCACCAGGAAATGTTTTTACAACAATTTTATGGTTCATTCCTTGTTGAATTCGTCTCGCGTTTATTTGTTTAAGCATAGAATCGCCCAAAATAGCAATTCTTGATTGTCCTACGCGCGGAGATTAAACGTTTCGTGAAAATATTCAACCCCCCCCCCCCCCTGTCATGTAGCCCACGAGGAGTTTTCACGAACTTGCTCGCGGCTTTTAAATTACTTCTTTTGGATTTTGACAGGACAATTGTTATGGGAGGTTTTATCCTTTCAAATGCAACTAATGTTTTCAATTTATCGATTGGGACTTATCTACAATGAAGTACTCTTGGATACTGTAATCTAAATACATATGAAGACGAAGAAGTGGTATTTATCGGGCAGGGAAACGGCGAGTCATTACAATGGCGCCATATTTCACGAAATATCGAAGGATACAATATCGAAGATAAAATACACTGCGCTGTTTCAAAACTTGATGAAACTTGGTTGAAGTCTTATTTAGCCGATTATGATTATGTAAAAGTACAACAACTGGATGGTAGTTGCGAGACTCGGCGATAAAAAGCAAACAAGATGGCAAAAAACATGGCTGAAATCTGCCAGGCATATTAGTTAATTTATGCATAATTAGCAATTTAGCTGGGGTTGTAGGTACATGGTCATTTTCTTGTAAAATTTTATACTTAGACAAATTTTTCCTTCCAATGACCACCCCTAAAAGCAACCATTTTAAACTTTATAAGCACTTCGGAAAGCCTATCGTTTTTCCTTTTCGGAAGTTAGATATATGTCGACACTGCCGTGTCAGGGCGGGGTCATTTTCAGGACTTTCGGCCTGGATTCAGGTTTAATTTTGGCACATATGCCATGTTGACCGCGATGGTCATTTTACCCTAAAACAGTTGAGATTACCTGTGCAAAATGAAATGCATACAAACTAATATAGAGGTCCTAGGCTAGCTAGAGAATATGGACAGTGGGAAGTTAATTAAATGGGGTCGTGTTTGTAGATATCAAAAAGGCATGTTGCTCTATAAACCATCGTATTTTGTTTAATAAAATTCATGAACAAGTTAAAATTTTTAGCAAGGAATCAAAGTGGTCTGAGTCATATTTAACAAATCGAGAACAGCATTGTAATGTTAATGGGAAATTATCTTGTAGTAAAATTATCACCTGTGGAGTTCCCGAGGGATCTATACTGGGATCACACCTATTCTTATTATTTATTAATTATTTACTTGAAACAACTAATCCATGCATGTACGCGAATGATACTCAAATATTTTCATCTTCTTGCGATGCAAATGAACTTACTGTAAGTTTAAATTCAAATCTAGCTCATGTCTGTAACTAGCTTAAAGAAAATAGGGTGCAGATGCATCCATCAAGATGTAAAATATTTTTATTGGCTCCCCGTATAATCTCAATAATATAATGTGCGAGGGACCCATTGTGGCTAATACAAAACCCATATTACGAACTGCTACACAAATGTGCCTAGGAGTAAAACTAGATGAAAACCTTAATTGTGATAGTCATATTGAAATGATATGCAGGAAGACGAGTGCTGCTATTGGTGCTATGAAACGTGTAAATCCCTTTGTTCCAATGCATACCTTAGAATCGATTGATGAAAGCCTTGTGCAGCATCCCTACTTTGCTAAGATACTAGTTGCAAAGATTTCAGTCTCGTGCAGCAAGAGTCTTAACGGGTGCTAATTATGATTCTCGCTCAACTGAACTTCTCAACATGCTTTCTTGGGACACAGTTGAAAATAGGCGGTCTGGTGCCAAGGCAGTATAAATGTATGAAATACTAAATGATCGCACAGCGCCGGGTCTGCGGGGTCCTTCGTGAGATGAGAAATAGGTCAAACTATTTATCATCTGCGAAATACAGCAACTGACCTGACAACTCCTTAGCTGAAACAAGAATTTCTTACAAAAAGTTTTAAATATAGCTTATGCTCTGGAATCAACACCCAAACGAAGCAAAATCGGCCGAGTCGCTTCATTCATTTACATCAATCAAAATTGTTGGACAATGACATGCTTCCTAGTTATTTCTATATATCATAATATGTGTATGTGTGTGTATTACTATTTAGTTTAATTTTCTTTTTAACGTTTTTTAAGATTTAAACACGTCCCCCATGGAAACCAGCCTAGAGTAGATGGGGTTAGTGTGTTCTACTTCCTCTTTGATTATAAATAAAGTATTACCTACCTACCTACCTACCTTCATGAAGTGGAGCTAAAGGACAGCATGACGGTTTAATCAATTTAGTAGCACTGGAGATATCAAAATCGCTGTAAGTCTTGATATTTCCCTGCACCAGCGAACCACAGTCGTTTGCGAAACTTTTGATCTCATCGGAACCAAGAACTCTATTCCAAATATTGACTTCGGTCAAGATACCCTTGAAGGAATCTTTGGCTTTGAAACTACCTCCCAAAGAATCCTGGTCTTGACCAATCACCCATATTCCACCACTTTTAATTTGTTTTCCAGTTTGGACGTCAGTCATTTTTTCACTCAAAGCACCGTCCTTGTATACTTTGAAAACACCGCTTGACGACTCCCATGTGACACACACGTGACGCAGTTGTCCGTCATCAACGAGCAAGTCAGTGCTATTAAGGTAAAAAGAGAGTCTGAATCACATTACTGGGCAAGGCTTACTTTTTTTAGGGTCCCGTGCTTTTTATTTAATAATTAAAACACTGATGAAGACACTAATATATATACGGATATAAACATAGGCATCAAGCCATCAACACCTGAGGAACAGGGGTGAGGTGGTAAGGTAACAAAACGTGGAATAGGAGTGCCATTAAAATTGACTTTTATGAATGCTGTTTTCTTTTGTCCAAGACGCGATTGACTTTGGCAATTCTTTGGTCCCGACTAATTGTGCTCGCAGTATTTCAGCAATTTCGTTCATCTCGTGTAGCTTTAGAATGCTTTTCGCATTCCCATATTTAAATTATTAAAAAATTTTGGATGTTGGAAATAGTTTTAATTCAAGATTTTATTAAAGTGCGGGAGATCTGAAAACTGCACAGCGTGGACGTTGGACGATTTTACTAATTAACATTAATAAGCATCTGAAAAGTATGTATTGTTTACGTCATACAATTGTGGAGAAACAACCCTTTGAGCCGCAAGAGAAGGTTTGGTCGAAGGTAATGGAGAAATTCGTTATCAATTTCCATCCTTTGACCGCATAAGATAACATCGCTGCGGTTCGTCTTATAGATGCGCCCATGGTGGTGTGATCACATTAGTTCATTACTGACATACTTAAGACGAGAACAATAATTCAAAGTCACACCTGTAGGTTTTCTCTAGCAGCACCAAGTTCAGGTGTGGCATTAACCGTAACAGAAAATCGTTTCGTCCTGTTCTCGAATAAGATAACAGAACTGGAATACCATTGTTGACATGCCCTTCAGGGGCAGACATCCAAAAACACGCAGTGATAAATTCCAATGCCTGAGGAGATCCTTTGGATATGCCATATTGGGTTATATCATTACCACGAAAATGTAATGCCAAAGGACCTATACAAGCAAAGGGAGGTTACAAATGCAAGAGGATCATCTGCTTCATTTTCGTCCAGAAATATAGTTGAAGTCTAACGGCAAAGAGCAACAGGATCAAAATACGAAAAGTATAATAATTTTAAATACCAAACAGAAAGATTTAAAAACGGTCCCTTGACGTATACTGTAAATAGTTTGAACAACAGCCTATAGTGATTCAAGCACAGTACTCAGTTTCCAAATATATCAGAATAGTTTTATTTTTAAAACACACCTTTTTCCCATCTAATATCACAGTCGCTTAATTTAATTAAAACAAACATACATGAAATAAACTCGGAATCTGTTCCGGTCAGCGGTGGAGTCCCTCTTCACGACCAGAAATTATCTCTCCTGAACAAAGTTTTCTTACATAAAATTGCCGATCGTATTTTATATACTATAGTAATACATTCTTGCATGCATTCAACCTCCCCTTACCAATATTTTCCGAACATTGTAGTAGTAGTAGTAGTAGCAGTAGTAGTAGTAGTAGTAGTAGTAGTAGTAGTAGTAGTAGTAGTAGTAGTAGTAGTAGTAGTAGTAGTAGTAGTAGTAGTAGTAGTAGTAGTAGTAGTAGTAGTAGTAGTAGTAGTAGTAGTAGTAGTAGATTTATTCAACCTCCCCGTAGGGCTTTTCAGGTTTAAATTACAATATTACGTCTTGAAATTTACAATATAAAAAGCGAATAGCTATTATAAGTTATTAACTACATATTTTAGAATGTTAAAAGTACATTAGGAGGACCATGTACATAATAAAATCTAAAAATAAGTTCGTTTCAAAGTCGAAATGTTTGAACACTTTTCATGAAGACGTTTCTTCACTGCATTCTTAAATTGGGGTAAAAATTTTAACTGCC